TCAACTGTTTTATTTGAGTGACACTAATGGACCTTGTGTAGACGAAACACGAGTGTTGCGCGCTAAATTATAAGCCTATAGTATCTTTAATGAGATTTAAATCCGATGTTATACGAATCACACTCTAGTTTCAGTATTGCTTTGGACCAATTCTTACAGATATATCCATGTTCTTTGCTTCATGTAGTTTTGAAGAAAAAATATAGACTATATATCCATCAGAATAAAAGTTGAGTAGGGGTTGAGAAGTTCGAAATAAAGTTATGATAACTCTACCGTCGCTTCCAGTTTTCATTGGGACCAGATATCTGCAGTTGATCTCCACCTGAGTGTGTAGTTATAGATCACTTTATATAGATTGCAAGTCATGAACGTTTCTGTAGAACTTATGATACATTTTAGTCGAAAGACTTTTTTTTGTGAAAAGGGCCGCTGGCTTCTGCTCGCGGTAGACACGAAGCAGAGATTGAGCCATGATCATAGGCAAAAAAAAATTGTATATTCGGAACAAATAAGTAGTTTCCAATGCGATGAGCACCTATGTCAGTCTAAACGTTTTTGCCGCTTGTAGTGCTCTTACATGGTATTGTGGTGTAAATATGATACAATAAGATTTTTTCTCGTGTTCTTCGAAGGATAAAAGATAAAATAACGTCAGTGTATAATACTTATGTGTGGTCAATTTCTGCTGTTATTTTGACAACTGTTTACATAAAGACATGTACTTATATACTGGTGTAACATGTATCACCTCGTAATATTAAAATGCATGTTGGTGTCATCTATTTGCGGTATGCATATTTTAAATCATTGTTATATATCATGTTTTGTTATCTAATCAATGAAATCCAAATATATAAATATTAAAGTACAAACACATCCGTAAACCCTTGAAATTGGTCACTCCCTGCTGGTAATACTGTAATTAAGATATAATAAAGTTGTATATAGTCGTATATACATTTGTACCAAACCTCATCAATTCGTCATCTGAAAACTAACATATATAATGTACACTTGGCCCTCAGGTGAGGTTTTCAAATTCTGACACATGTCCTGTCTTCCTGTTCCATATACATGTATGAGTGAAATGTCATGTGAATAATTTTTCGAATTCTGTTGAGAACTTTATAGACACTTCTGCTTAGAAATATTACAATTTTGTAGATTGAGAAAAAAAGTATTTCTCAGGTTACAAACAGTATATGTATATTTATATCTGTATGTGGTATTATTATCTACATTAAAGGTAAGAAAGTGATTTATTTATTATAAGTATAATATAAACAAAGTAATAAACGTGTCTGTCTTCTATAAAAGTGTTTTCGTATATAGAACAAGATCGGTTAAAGGGCAGTGTTAAATTTTAAAGGTACTGCAACAGGAATTGGATGATGTGACTGATGTCACAGATTTATATTAGATTATTTTTAACATAACATACAAAATAAATCATGAAAACAATTCTTAAACTAGATTTGTCTTTAAGTCCCCCCCCCCCCCCCCCCCCCCCCCCCAAAAAAAAAGAAAAGTAAAGCAACATAGACTTTCCTTGAGATTGTGTGACTGTAAGTATGCCGCCTATTTTTGAAACAGTTTATCTGTACGGCTTTATTGGCTTTATTAGATAATTCAATATAATTTACTTCTGTTAGACTGGAATATTAGTTGTATGTCGGTTCAAAAGATCAAACACGAGCTCGGTTATACTTGTGTGTCACGGTCTTGTCTGCTATTATTATAGTCTCAGGTCTTGTCTGCTATTATTATAGTCTCAGGTCTTGTCTGCTATTATTATAGTCTCAGGTCTTGTCTGCTATTATTATAGTCTCAGGTCTTGTCTGCTATTATTATAGTCTCAGGTCTTGTCTGCTATTATTATAGTCTCAGGTCTTGTCTGCTATTATTATAGTCTCAGGTCTTGTCGGCCGAACACATCTTTCCTTATTCGAAAATGGTACGAGAACGTTCTTCGGCACCGATTTTACACGAATAATTAATGCTGTGACAACGTGCACCAAGTACACTATGATGTTCACGTGACATCGCCTTATAACTGCCGTCAGAGACATATAATACAATATGTATTATATGTCTCTGTTGCCGTGTAATACGCTGGAATGAAAGTTTGCTTACACTTACACCTTAAATTCATAAGTACAACACTGATTTATATAATAAGACCAGAGACATATTGTATTATATGTCTCTGGTAAGACTTGCCGTATAAACCCTGGGGTACAGTTAACACAAAATTAATATAGTATCTATATATCTGTATCTGACTTTTATCTTACGGGAGAGGGAGACACCTATTGACGGTGTTGAAGAGCTGCCTTGAAGCTTTCAACTGTATTTGCGCATAGAATATTGTCTTCCAGTTGGTTCCAATGAATTATGCTCTTGATAAAGAAAGAGTTCTTATATGGATCCGTATTATATGGTATAGTGTCTAGTGCATTCGTACGGTCTCACTAATTAGCGACAAAAAGAATTTTAGCGACAAGAAGCGTCAAGAAGCGACAAGAAGATTAATTTTAGCGACAAGAAGCGACAAGAAGACTATTTAGCGACAAGAAAACATTTTTTTATATTAAAATTACTTATTCCAAATAAATATTAAAAGAATATGCAAAAGAAAACAATTTTAGCGACAAGAAAGTTAATATTCTATCAATAAATAGATAGCCGAAAAAAAATTGAAACATAGATCTAATTGCTACATTTATTTGTGATAATTTATTATTTATTATGTATAACAGCAAGTATTACGTTTACCCTGTCGTATTATGATATTAATTTTACTTTTGTTTTAGAACAATAATATATTTATCTTATATTTTGTTTTTAAAACTCTATTTAATTTCTTCATCTATCAATATAATAAAAAAAAACTACACAATCCCTTTTTTCCTCACATTTTTTAATATTTATTTTGAATAAGTAATCTTAATAAAAAAAAAATGTTTTCTTGTCGCTAAATAGTCTTCTTGTCGCTAAAATTATTCTTCTTGTCGCTTCTTGTCGCTAAATTATTCTTCTTGTCGCTTCTTGACGCTTCTTGTCGCTTCTTGACGCTTCTTGTCGCTTCTTGATGCTTCTTGTCGCTAATTAGTGAGACCCCATTCGTATTGTTCTTCACTGAGTAAAAATTAGACACTTTCAAAGTTATCAATTTTGTTAATGTTTATATTATCTTGTAGAGTCTTTTCTCCATTGAATGATCATTTAATCGACGTTTTACACTATCTAATTGCAAATTTTTGGATCACTGACATCAAGGATTTTTTAATAGTAGATGACTATTTAAAACTAGATGTGTCGGAACGACACGAATGGCCCCATCTCAAAAAGTTGACAAATCTGCACTTTCAATAACACATCAGGACACAAACATGCATGGATAGTATCCAGCTCTCAAGACCAATACTAGTTTGATGAAAAATTTCCTTGCTCAATGAGTAGTTAAATTTCAAACTAAATTTCAAACTATCTATCAAAGTCCAAAGTCCTTCTTATTTCCGAATCCCAGTATTTCTATTGTATAATTGAATTTTGTGCACTTTTGAAAATAAAATATTGTTTAAACTAAAGTCCAAAGTCCGTAATTTCTGCAAAAATAAGTAAAGCGGAACGAACTTAAACTTGATCTGTAACTCATCATGGTTAACTCACATACCAAAAAAAGCAGCCACAATTTATCAAAGTCCAAAGCCCGTAATTTCGGCAAAAATTAGCATAGCGGAACGAAACTTAAACTTAAACTTGATCTGTAACTCATCATGGTTATAACTTTACCAGATTTGTAATAACATAAGCAACACGACGGGTGCCACATGTGGACTCAGGATCTGCTTACCCTTCCGGAGCACCCATATGGCAAAATTTGGGGTAATTTGCTAATTTGCATAGCGGCCATTTTGCCTTATCATGACGGCAGCCATTACAATAGGATTATATAAGCCCATTTAATAAAAATGCCAATATGCAAATACCTATGTCGAATGAACAATTTGTTCGCATATAGGTGAATTGTACATGTTTTTAGGCTTCTGTCCGTGTACAAATGGACATTATCTACTCTGAAATCTTTCGGCCTTTTTAGTTTAAAAATCGGAAGCGTAACCATTGTGTAATTGCTATATAAGATCAAATAAAATGACGTAAAATCGTAAAATAGCAAGATTCAAAACAGAAATACACATGCAAGAAGATATTGTTCATGATTTGTTCGCATATAGGGAAACACCTTGTAGGTTGAATTTTAAAGTTAAATAACTTTTAACTTACCTGCTTTCTTAAGTTTTCGGCCAAATTCTTTTAAAAACATGATGATTTCAACCTTCCCATTTCGTAAAAAGTCAAATTTTAAGCTTTTTCCCTTAGAATTACACAGCATTTTTGTAAATATCCGCCAAAGGAAGTTTTTAAAGATACATTAGTTCTAGATACATGACGGAAAAGGACTGGATTATCCGCAAATCTATAATAAATTATATTTTCAATCTTAAGCTAAGGGAAGTAATTTGATCAAAAGGGACAAAGTCACGTGGTGCAAATGATTTAAATAAAGTACCTTTGATTTTGCCATATGCCTGAGCCGGATCACCCCCAGTTTTTGGTGGGGTTCGTGTTGCTTAGTCTTTAGTTTTCTATGTTGTGTCATCTGTACTATTATTTGTCTGTTTGTCTTTTTATTTTTGGCCATGGCGTTGTCAGTTTGTTTTCGATCTATGAGTTTGACTGTCCCTCTGGTATCTTTCGTCCCTCTTTTTTGACTCACATACCAAAATTCAGCCCAATATCTGAAGGCATTTAGAAAAAAATTGTGAATAATGGTTTGTTGCGGAATGACGGAATGACGGAATGACGGAATGACGGACAAGGGTAAAACTATATGGCCCAACAACTTTGTTACTGGGCCATAAAAACATATATTCCGATTTCCGACGGGTCACATCATATCAGGCCCAGACATGTTCCAAAAATAATCAGCTTCATCAACTTCCGGTACTGTGATGTTCAAAAGTTTGAACAGACGTTTCATTAAAGTTGTTATTTTTGTGAATGAAACGAAAAAGATGTAAAATAAATGATACCTTTAAAACTTGGGATCAATAGATATTGGACCCAGTTAAATCGAACACGGTAAGATAAAGTGACTTAAGTCTCAATACGTTAAACTGTAAATTATTCAGTTTCAGGATTGGCTCGCTGCGGATCTTCATAATTTTCATAAAAATTTAGCGATAAATCAAGTATCTTCTCTCAGTGACAAATGCTTATTGTTAAATCCGTAATAGTTATCCCATGAGGACGTGGTGTGTCAGTGTAAGATCACCCAGAGTTAGATCTTGCACTGACACACCAAGTCCGAGTGGGATAACTATTTTACATCCCAGCTCTTCTAGACTATATGAAAAAAAAAACATTTACGCTTCATAACATCTAGTTCAGAATGCCATACAATAATTGTAATAAACTTTATAGACGATTTTTCATTCCCTATTGTTAATTTTCCTTTTTTAGATGGCGTAGGTATTCCAGTTAAAATTTAAAGTTACCCAAATGATTATTAAAACCAGGTATATAAATGGCTAAGTGCTTATATTTCTCAAATGTAACACTGATTTTCATTGGTGTATACTATTTGGTGATTAAAAGTGACTCAAAAATAAAACCGTTGATCAACTTTGTCATGTAATGGGAAGTAACTCCAGCTAATTTATACCAGTTTAAGACAGATTAATGTTTTTACATTGCATATTTGTATTTGTGCCACTTCCTAAATTGTTTATTTGGTTGTCTCATTTAATGTACTTTAATATCCCATATCTTCTTATAATTGTATGAGTTTTACTTTGTTTATAATTTAATGGTTTTGAGGTTATGGTAATTGAAATATAAATATCACTTTTATAAGCCTACTTACCAAATTTGAAAACAAAATAAGAAGGTGGTTGTCTTCTGTATCAAAATATCAACTAATCACTATATAATACAAGTAACTCCTACAACAAAGAAACAAGTGTAGGCTGCTATTCAATGTCAAATTAGAGCATTGTTGCATTAAATTACTTAAAAAAGAGACACCAATCACTATCAAAATAATTATTACCATTTGGTTGCACAGTAGATACATGTAGATAATCAACTTTTAAGAGGACCTCATAGAAGATTACTTAAGTTGTGATACCCTTATTAAATATAAAAACCATTTATCATTATCATTAACACATTGATCAAAGTAATCCTGCCTCTTGGCTATGTACATTGTGTACCAATTATTATAATGACCCATTGATTATATAGGGATTATAATAACAAACATTTGATCAAGCAGTTAATTAAGAAATAAATAATAAGCAGGCCTTAGTTGAAATATTCAATGACCCTCCACTTTTATATAAAACTTGTTGACAAAAAGCTGATGTAACCACTTTATCTTATGAGTATAATTGTACAATTGTGAGAAAGACATCTTTTCAACAATAGGGTTCATATAAATAACATAGACACTACTTTTATTTCACATGTTTAACTTTGTTCCTATTTTAAAAAAAATTATCAATGCTGCACTGCACTATCACATCATATCCAAAAAAGTCTATAGTATAAGGGGGGTAACTCGAGTTGCCTAAAACCTGTATTTTTCGTAGAAACCTAGTTGCCGACGACCGACTGATTTATATCCATACATTTAGATAAATTATAATTAATATACATTAATAAGTATAATTTGGTATGAAGTAGCCCGCAAGCTTGATGCTGTTTAATACATTTTGCAATAAAAATGGCAGTGTCCGTCTTTCCGACCTCATCGTTTAACAGGACTATTTTCCAAACGCAAAAACCAGTAAAAAACTCACGTGTATTAATAAGATTTGAACAAAAACAGTTAGGCCTTACCTTAAACAATTATTACATTCAGCAAATATTAATATTGGTCTGATGGTTGATGTAAAAAGCTCCTTTCGAAATGGAATACCGGCAAGATTGTGAAAAGCATGAGAATGAGAATACCGGAAGCAATAAATTTTTCGTTCTTTTAGGGCGCCACCTAGTGACCATTGGAATAGCTAGTACCTGTAGAAAACTTATTAAAAATGGTATTTCACATCCTAAATTTTATGGTAATATTGTACTTAAAGCACGGAAATCATTATGTGATCCGTGTAAACTCATCGAACCTTTAAACAAACTTATTAGTAAGGGTTATTGTACCAATGTTGTAATTAGATCTCTGAATATAGTTTACATTGGCACTAATATCAATTTTGTCATTAGCAAATTAAAACATAACTAAATTTGTATTTTCTTTTTAAACGGGATGTATAGAGACACACACGTTCATTTCTATCTATAAAGAAGTCAATCCGAACTATACTACTACCTGTCGATACATTTATTTTTGGCATTGCACAAGTCATGTCTTCTTTGACTGTTCATGACGTTAAAATACTAAATCCCTGGGATGTATTTTAGTTGATTTTAGTCTCTGATGCATGATTTTTTATTATTAATTGTTTTGGCTTTTAACTAGCTGTCAGTAACTGCGAGTACTCTCAAATCGTACTTTCGTTTTAATTTGACCTGTTGATACTATTTGTAATGCTTTTTTGTTATTTAATGTTAACATGGATCTTGTCTATATACCAGCTTTGATTATTTGGTATTTAATTTACTACAAATTTTCACTTCTTCGTACTATGAACATCAAAATTATTTCATGTTTCCTTAGATGCTGTTCTTAGACCTGTACAGGAAGTTTTATCTAGCACTAATTGTATATTTTTATTGTTGATATTCACCCCATATGTAACAAGTGTTAGATTAGTTTTTTTGATATTAAAGAAATTTCTTGGTATTCCTAAACGGAAGATTTTATACACACAGAAGAAGAAGTATACTTAACAACAAAATTATTTTCATTTGCCTATGTATAATATGACGCAGGTTTCTTCAAAAGTGATGATTTTCTAAAAATTGTTTGAAATTTCACAGTGATATCATACTTTAACTTTGTTTAAACCTGTTTCTCTAATTCCTCGTCAATTTATCCCTTTCTGCACCCATTGTATAAAAAAAATTTAATCAATGTGTGGTTCGTTTGATCTCAGTTCTTCATTGGTTAAAATCCGATTATGACGTCGAATTTTTTTTTGCTTTCCTCGCGAAAATTTAACTGTCTCGAGTGGATAAATATTGTATCACACTCGATGCAGTGGTAGAATCTATATTCATTTACTTTTGACTTTAATTATTTATCCCTTGTAATTTTTTATTAACTGTGTATTTGCATTCAGGTGTCATAGGTCAATTTTATTCATTCATTGTGTGTAAATTTACGTTTTTTGATTGAGTTAAGCCTTCCAATTGATATTTTATAGTGTGTTTTTCTATGTTGTGATGTTATACTATTGTTTCAGAAAAGGGAGAAGGTTTGGTACCATTAAAACGTTTAATCCCGCTGCAAATGTTTGCACCTGTCCTAAGTCAGGAATCTGATTACAGTAGTTGTCGTCTGTTTATGTAGTTCATACGTGTTTCTCGTTTTTATATAGATTAGACCGTTGGTTTTTCCGTTTGAATGGTTTTACACTAGTAATTTTTTGGGGCCCTTTATAGCTTGCTGTTCGGTGTGAGCCAATGCTCCGTGTTGAAGGCCGTACCTTGACCTATAATGGTTTACTTTTATAAATTGTAACTTGGATGGAGAGTTGTCTCATTGGCACTCATAACACATCTTCCTATATCTATGTACCCTTTATGAGCCCCAGAAACAGTGTTTAAATATGTTGAATAAAAAGTGAGTTTGTTTCCAGGCGTCCTGGTGTAGGAGTATGGATAGTGGCTTCATATGCTTAAGGTCTTGAGTTCGATTCCCCACATGGACACTGGAAATTTAGTGGATTTTTTTCTACATAAATTTTGAAAGTTAGTCTTTATTTCGAATAAATATTTCTAAGTTTTATTCCCTCCAAAATGTTACAGAACAAAAGAAAGCATGCAGAACAAAGAAACTCAAGGTAGGGTGATCTGGTAGGGGTGATCTGACTCAGATCACCCCTGTTAGAACAAAGGAGTTGGGATGTAATTTTTATACCACCGCAAAAAAATTTTGCGGTCGTATATTGGTATGACGTTGGCGTCGTCGTCGTCCGGCATCGTCGTTGTCGTCGTCCGAAGACACATAGGTTTTCGCACTCTAACTTTAGTTTAAGTGAATGATCGCTATGAAATTATACCATAAGGTTCAATACCACAAAAGGAAGGTTGGGATTGATTTTGGGGGTTATGGTACCAACAATTAAGGAATTAGGGGCCAAAAAGGGGCCAAAAATAAGCATTTTTGTAACTTCCAGACATAACTTGTGTGTTAGTGTATGGATCTCTCTGACATTGTACCACAAGGTTTCATATCACAAAGGGAATGCTTGGATTGATTTTGGGGGTAATTGCCTCAAAATTTTTAGGAATTAGGGGCCAAAAAAGGGGCAAAAAACAAGCATTTTTCTAGTTTCATGGCAATAACTTGTGTGTAAGTCTATGGATCTTTCTGAAATTGTACTACAAGGCTCCATATCACAAAGGGAAAGCTGGAATTGAGTTTTGGGGTAATTGCCCAAAACGTTTAGGAATAAGGGGCCAAAAAAAAGCATTTTTCTAGTTTCCAGACAATAACTTGTGTTCAAGTGTATGGATCTCTCTGAAATTGTACTGCAAGGTTCCATATCACAAAGGGAATGCTTGGATTGAGTTTGGGGGTAATTGCCTCAAAATTTTAGGAATTAGGGGCCAAAAAAGGGGCAAAAAACAAGCATTTTTCTAGTTTCATGACAATAACTTGTGTGTAAGTCTATGGATCTTTCTGAAATTGTACTACAAGGCTCCATATCACAAAGGGAAAGCTGGAATTGAGTTTGGGGGTAATTGCCCAAAACGTTTAGGAATAAAGGGCCAAAAAGGGGCCAAAAATAACATTTTTCTAGTTTCCAGACAATAACTTGTGTTCAAGTGTATGGATCTCTCTGAAATTGTACTGCAAGGTACCATACCACAAAGTGAAGGCTGGGATTGATTTTGGGGGTAATTGCCTCAAAATTTTAGGAATTAGGGACCAAAAAGGGGCAAAAAGCAAGCATTTT